AAACCTTAATGTGTTTGAAGCTTTGGAGAAAGGTCCCTGGTACTTGAGATTATCATAGAAAATTGTGTGTTTGTTGTGCTTGTTGAGGAGGCTTAGACACTTGGGTAATTTGTGCTTGATCTGTTCATATTCAAATGGCTTATAACATCTGGGGACTGATGTTGTCCTTATCATGCCTTTATTAAAAACAAAGCATTGTTCGCTGCTACAGAAATGAATGGACAGCCTTTCTGTTCCCTAAATTTGGAATGGCATATTTATGGTCTGTGTCTTTTTGATGCAGCCACTCACATTTTCTAAAAAAATATCTTTCCACAATCTGCCACATGAGCATCATTTGTGACTTCTTCATCTACCTTCCCATTGCTGCCTGCGTGCTGTGTTCAAATTTGATGATACTGTCCTTTTGTTTGCAATGAGTACTTTCCCTGTGTGTCAGGCCCTCTTTTTGGTACGGCATGTGGGTGGGAGGCCAGCAAATACAGCATAAAACACTCAGCTAAGCTTAACTCTTTAGGAATTAATTTTTAAATGAAATCATAGTTATCATCTGTGTCATATACATGTCACACTTACACTATAAAAGAGAGATACTAATTGCCTATATGAAATTCAAATTTACTTGGGTGTCCTGTATACCAGAGTCTTCCAGCAATTGTAAATATGGAATCCCATCACCCTCCCTGGGCACCTCTTGCATGGTGACCCCCTTCCAATGATGGCCAAGATTCTGGCCAGACATTTTTAGATATTTCAAGTCTTGGGACCTCAGAACTCACTGGAGTGTCAGGAGCTCCACACATTCTGCTCTCGGCCTCAACTAGATTCCTTCTTGTAAAGGCAAATTTGAGAATTATGGGGTGCCACAGGGACATGATGCAAGAGGGGTAACTTCCTGTTTCTTTGCCTCTATTATGGATGGGGGCAAAAGTCCTGTGTGAAGAAGTTGCATCAAGACAGGATTCACTATCAATGCTTCTATATGGATGTTTGCAGAGTAAATAGTCTCTGCCAGGCTGCAAACCACAGAGCTCCCGTGCCTAACCCCATTTCCTTCAATGTTATGAGTTTGATTCTAACTGAAGGCTCACCTAAAAGCACACTGTCTTTCCTGAGACTGTGCAGCCTACTTTCTAGACTGGCTATCACCACCGAAACTCTTGCCTGACTTAAGATCATCCACACATAAAAATATAAAATCTCAGTCAGCTATTCACAGGTGTCCTGCTTCTTCCCAGGTCAGAGCAGCCTCTCCAACAAAGTCCCATTCACAAATAAAAACCTTATTTAAATAGTACTAATGCTTTTGCTGTACATTTTAATAGTGCCTACTTGTGAAATCAGAAACTTGAATTTGGATCATGACTTTTGAACTAAAATCTACACATGACATTGCAATTTATTTTTTAAACATTATTTATTATTATTATTACTAAAATGTTGTACATTATGTGTGTGCAGGAGCTACAGCCTACATGCAGAGCTCGGGGACAACTTGATTGAGTCTTCTGCCACCTCGGCATGAATTCTGGAGAATGAACTCAGGTTGCCAGCAGTAAGTGCCATTCCCACTGCATCTTCTTGTCAACCTGACATAGACATATCTATTTTGAATGAGAACTAGTCAAGTAAACTTGAAGAACTGACTATATTTTCTATCATGTCATAAATAATAAGGATAATGGGTCTGATTACGTTTGTACTTACAAGTATATGTGACTCTAAACCAAAAATATCCCTTCTACATCAAACACCATGTTTTCTGTGATGATCACAGTCGGAGCATCTAGCAGAATTTCACCAGATAAATAAGCAAAGTCCACATGAAGAACCCAGAAACTGCATTGAAAATCTGTATATAGACTCTTTCTTCCTCGGCCAGGGATCCGCACAATCATGCGATATGCTCAAAGAAGCACACTAGACTGATATCCTCTTAAGAGAGCAAAGCACTTCTTTCTTGATATTTCATAGCAACACACACACACACACACACACACACACACATACACACATGGAGGGAGGGAAGGAAGGAGGAAGGAAGAAAGAGAGGTATAGAAGGAGAATTTTCTCCATTCCGTCGGTCCCACTTGGACCAGTTCTCTCCACCCACTGGGTCCCCACAGCTACTTATAAGATAACCACTCAGAGACTTAATGTACACTTATAATTGTTTGGCCAATGGCTTAGGCTTATTACTGATGAGCTCTCTGTTATAAATTAACCCATCTCTACTAATCTATGTACTACCATGTGGCTGTAGCTTACCAGTGATGCCCTTGCATCTGGCCTCCCTGATGACTACATGTGTCTCATTGAATCTGTCTTCCTTCTTTTTGTCCCTTTGTTCTGCTTTCCCACCTAGCTAAATTCTGCCTGTTCACTGGCCAAAACATCTTTATTCATAACCAATAAAAGTAACACATATTTACAGCACTTCCCACATCAGAGATACACCCTAAGAGCAAGAACCTAAGAAAGCTAAGCCACAGCCAATCTCTTCCCTCTTGAAGTCTCAGTACAGAGCAGAGTGTACTGCAGCTGATGAGACCCTATGGACCAGGCTTGGAGATGGGATTAGGAAGGGAACAGTAACAGAGGTGGAGTATCTGAAGCCATCTTGATGAGCCAGCACCGAACAACTTGACCATGGATTTCTGCGTTCTTTAGAACTACTTCAGAGCAAGTAGAGTGAATCTGCAGTCACATCTCTACACCTAACGCTGTTTGGGCTTGCAAATTAAATAAGGATGACACAGAACAAGTAAGCATGGGAAGAGTCACAGCAGACTAATCATCACTGCTGTTACATAAGTTCCTTAGGGAAATCTACATTTGCTGTTAAAGTGAGAGGCAGAAAGAAAGCCTCATTTCTGAGGAAAGAGGACACCCAGCTCTCGAAACGTTCCCTGTTTCTTTGTAGTCCTTCATGCCTCACTCATGAAATATCTGAATCTATTGCCTGTGGTCCGTCAAACCACTTTCCACATCTTGCAAAAATTAAGGGATATTATTGGATTAGAAACAAGCAAAAACTGTACTCATTCTGTCAAGCAGCCATGATGTGCCGGCCTCAGAAAATAGGCTGTGCTCATTTTCATTGATTTATTTAGAAACTTCTCCATCAAAAGGTCCGTGGAGGTTTAGGAAGTCTTTAGTGTAGATGGTAGTGCAAACGTATTAGGCAGGATTGGTGAAATATAGTTATTAACATATAAATCCAATACCTCATCAAGAGCACATTTTAAAGTTGGTAATAGGACCTAAAACTCATCATTTAATGCCATTACTCTCAGTAGGCTTTTCACCTGCCATGGACAGGTTAGTGATTTAGCACCATGCTGTAGAATGTCGAGACGATTTATTGACAGAAAACAGATCAATTTGTATCAGGAAACAGGAACAGGCCTAGTGCATTCCTTTCCTAATTTACTTTATTTTGTATTAAGCGGAGGTTTGAACTAATATCTAATTAGAATCCTGATATCAACATTAGACTTTTCTCCCTTAAATTGCATTCTAATGTAAATAGCAATAAGATCTGAGAATCCTAGCACAAAATGAAAACTATTTCTCTCCATGGACAGCAATAGTTTCCAATTCCATAAAGCTCACATATCCTTCCAGTCATTTATCACATGAAGACCAGATGTCTAAATGAACCCTGTCTCTTTAACGAGATAAATATCTGTTTATTGAACCATAGAAAATGCAGCCACAGTGAATCCCTCCTGTCATGTTGATGCTTATTTCCATGGAGACAAAGCTTACAAAAATAGCTAATATTATATTTTGTTTATAAAGTCAACTTTATAAGTTTCCTCCCACAAAACTGCTAAGATTGCTTTTGAGAATTGTCATTTAATTTAAGAACACTTTTAAGGATGCTTGATGGGTGCAGTGTGAGGGCCTCTTGGGAACTGGGATTACAAGTTTGTGTTACCCTCTGGGCAGGCATCTGTTTCCTAAGCCAGCAGTGGCAACTGCATTTCAGCTTTTATTCAAGAAACATGTATCTCCCAGATTTATGGTCAGGTCTGGATGACTCAAACAATCCTGCCTTTGTGGGTATATGATTTTGGTCCAGCCAATTAGAGAATTTTCCAGTACTTAGTTAAGGAGTTACACTAGAGCCTTAGGGCTATTGTAGCAAGGCACCACAAGGCACCACAGCATCTCCAAAACAGATTCGCTACCTCACAGCTTTAGAGAGGTCAGAAGTCCTAAGATCAAGCTGTCAACACAGCTTTCTTTCAGAGTCTCAGAGGAAGACTGTTTTCCTCGCCTTTTCCAGTTTCTGGGAGCTTCCCATATTCCTTGGATCTAATGGTCTCCTCCTCTATCTTCAGAGTGAGCATAATAGTATCTTCCATGCTTCTCTCTGACCTGTTTTTGTTAGCACATATACTATGATCACATCCCCACTTCCTTTATTTATAACCAATCTTTCTGATTTATGATAACTTGATGACATCTGTAAAGTTTTTTTTGAGATGTAAAGTAACGTTATTTATAGGATCTGGGCATTTTCTGTCTGCCACATGTGTGATCATGAGATCTGAGATGATTCAATAATGCAGGGTCCCTAAATTCAATGGAAAATATTAGGGAGGAGGTACCCCCTTTCCCCTGAGAGCTAGCATGATAGCCCTTTTAAATTGAGAGTTGTGTGTACTTAATGTTTTCCCTTGGGAACGTCTGTCTAACGAAATGTCTACCTGTGAAAATCCAAGGGAAGGGGTACAGGGGGAGTGTCAGCATGGAAATAGGTGGATGCTCTCCCCACCTGCTTGAGTTCAGTAGAGCCAACACACCACCCTGCAAACCTGTGGCCCGAGTTTGATCCCCAGGATCATGGGAGAAGGGAAGAACCAACTCTTAAGAGTGTTCACTTATATATATTCACCCCTTCCTTCCAAGTAAAGGACTGCAAACAAAAAAAAAATCATATAAAAACTTAAGAATAAATATATCTTTTTTTAAAGGAGAAATTACAACTTCATTGAATTTTCACTTGAAAATAAATAACCATCACTAATGGGAGGTATGTTGGTTTAATGGATGACAAGGATGAGGGACTATAAACAGAGGATCCTGGCTGAGTTCCAAATCTCTGCCTCCAGCGGCTGGCTGGCCATAGAGCACAAGGATGTGGAAGTGGGCAATCACCTTATTGGCGTTAGATAAGTTTACAATTTAGATGGCTTTATTTTGAAATAAAACCGATTTACAAGAGTGTTGATAAAATGTTTACAAGAGATAATGACATCACAAAAACTAAAAGAAGGGATTCTCAAGTAGGGGCATGTGACATGAACTTTAACAAACACTGCCACAAAGGCAAGAATGACAAAGGAAAGGAAAATGCCAACCCGGGGGGTAAGCATTCCCACCATCCTCCTCTCACGGAGACTCTTTTTGATCTCTTGGGTGTGTCTTTATACTATAATACCCAGCTATGCTCTGACCATGATCCTTACCCCCTAAACATGCCAGGAAACAAACCATCTTAGAATGGGTAGGCAGTTACAGGGGGGAGGTCTCTAGAAGATTCTGAGACATAGACCATGTCTAAAACAACCCATAAAAGTGATCCAGGAGGGTAGGACAGCATGATAGATGGCACTGCATGTCTTCCATGTGCCTCTCTATTTACTGTGTGGGAAAGAGCCATTGGTTCAGTATGGCAGCATGTAGGGTTCATGCGAGTGTGTCAATAGACTTAGAATATTGCAGGTCTATAAGGACTTGAGGGTTTGGTTTTGTTTTTGTGGTGCTTCATTCTTTCAAGTCAAGCAGCTGAACATAATAACTGGGCTCAAATTCATCTCTCAATTCTAAAGCTTAGAAGAGTTTTGAGCTACTAGCAGGATGGAGTGGTGCAAAGGTGAGGTTGGATTGAAAATGCAAATATGTACAGCGGTGTGCATGCTGGGGAACTGCATGGCCAGCACAAGGCAGGCTACTACTGAAAGCTCCTCTTTACTTTCTCACCCCCACCCCGTCTTCTCTTCTCTCTCCAGCCACAGTAAAGATGGGTTGACTGGCAGAAACTGAAGAAGAAAGCATGTCTCCACTGATCCACTCTTTGGCATGTCTTAGCTACCCGAGAGGGGAGGTGAGTTGGACATAGCCACTCCTTCAGGTTGAGCTCCTTCGGTTTTCCTTGTTTCTCATGCTGACCATACTCATTTCTATTTTCTGAGGCATCTCCAAAATAATCAGCTGGGAAAACGATCAGCAACCTGCAAAATGAAATGCAGTTTTCTGGGTATTGCTTCCTTCAGAATGTGGCAGAGAACCTTTCCTGGTGGTGAAGGTAAAAGGAGACAGGTGCAATCTAGGCCGGGTTTCAGAGCTCATCTGTAGAAGAGAAGACTGAAAGAACTCCAAGGACCAGCGTGCGAGACTCGCTTCCAATCCTTCCATCCTCAGGATGACTCACTCTCCTTCTGGCACTCTCAGCTTGAGATTCAAATGTCATCTGAGGATCAAGAGAAAGGTCTAGAAGCATGTTCTCCATTTCTAATTTTGTACTCACTGATTGACCAAACTCTACCCACACTTTATGTCCCCCGCCCTGGAACTAATTTTTTGAAATAATTGGTTATTGTGCTTCTGTTCAGTAAGCCATCCACAAACATGAAAGATTTTATGTAATATAGGGAGGGGTTCATGTGTCATAGAGAACAAATGTAACACATCTTCAACTAATATTCCATAACAACTATATATTCCAGACTGCTCTCAAATTGACTGGAATCCGCCTCTCTTGGTTCTGTAATTTCTTGGGTTATAGGAAGGCATGCTCCATGAACCCAGGACCTCCTGTATGCTAGGTCAGTATTTGACAGTGCTAGAATTCCGTTTTGAAAGCTCTCACTCTGTCTCAAGTGTTTTCTCATTTAATAGAATAGTATTCACTCCAGGTAAGTTTATTTCCCATACTCTCAGCTTTATTACTTCATCCTTTGCTATTGAGAAAAACAAATGACAAGTTTAACAAACTGACCGATGATGGGCTCTATCTTCATCTGTTCCTCTTACTGGAGCAGGAAGTTCCTCTTCACTCATGAAAGCCAATGCTCACTCACCATGATCTCTACATCGCTCCTCCTTGACTTTTCCAACATTTTTAATTTGATGGTTCTTTTTCTAGCACAGAGACAGTAAGAGGGATGAAGGGAAGCCTCAAGGAACAGGAGGAGTTGGAAAAGAGGGTACTAGGACATATGTGACAGGAAAGTGGGGGGGACACTTGAGGGAGCAGTAAAAGTGGGGTCAGGATGCAGGTCCACGGGGAGACAGAGCAGTGGCAGGAGAATCAACAAAACAAAATAAGACTAAAAACACCACAAAATAAAACCTACCGCACTGTATGCTAACTAAAAAAACCGGAAGAGTAATTTCTCTCCTCATCTTCCTGACTTTAAGTAGTACTGGACAAACTAGTCATTCCCTTCTCTCCACACAGGCCTGGTCCGTCATTGTTCTTTCATGTCATCTTTGCTTTATTACTGTTCATATCTGATTCTATTCTTCAGACTCCTTGACCAGATGATTTTCATCTACTCATTCGCTAACAAAATGTACTCTATAGCGTTTAACCTGGGCCCCCTTCTCCACTTTCTTCCGAAGTAGTACCCAATCCCATGGCCATAACGACTGATGCCACTCAAATTATTTTGATCATTTTCAAGCTCTCTTTTCTGTTCTGGGCTTCTATAATAAAATATTTGTTCAATATTTCTATTTAAATGTCCCTTGAGCAATATATATAAAACACTTAATATGCCCAAACAGATTTTCCTATTATTAATTATTAGGTCTTTAGGACACATCTTGCTGTATAGGCCAGGCTGGTCTTGAATTTATGATTTTCTTTTTTTCTTTCCCTTTTTTAATTTAAATTAGAAACAAGTTTATTTTTTATATCAACCCCAGTTCCCTCTATCTCCCATTCTCCCATTTCCCCCACTGGCCCCCATCCCATCTCTCTTCTGCTTCACAGAAAGGGTGAGGCCTTCTATGTGGGATCATCAAAGTCTGTCACATCATTTGGGGCATGGTATAAGCCATCCCTCATGTGTCTGGGATGGGAGAATATCCCTCTATGTGGAATGGGCTCCTAAAGTCCATTCATACACTAGGTATAAATACTGATTCATAACCAGGGGCCCCATAGACTGCTCAGGCCTCCTAACTGACACCCACATTCAGGAGGGCTGGTTCTGTCCTATGGTGGTTTCCAACCTGTCAGTTTAAGGTCCATGAGCTCCCCCTTGCTCAGGTCAGTTGTTTCTGTGAGTTTTCCCAGCACGATCTTGACCCCTTGGCTCATCATTCCTCCCTCTCTACAACTGGATTCCAGGAATTCACCTCAGTGCTTAACTGTGGGTTTCAGCTTCCGTTTCCATCAGCAACTGGATGAAAGCTCTATGATGGCATATAATGAAGTCATCAATATCATTATCCAGGAAGGGCATTTAAAGTAGCCTCTCCACTATTACTTAGATTCTTTTTATTTTATTATTATTATTATTATTATTATTATTATTATTATTATTATTATTTGGTTTTTACGAGACAGGGGTTCTCTGTTTTGTTTTGGAGGCTATCGGTCCAGCCCGGCCTCGAACTCACAGAGATCCGCCTGCCTCTGCCTCCTGAGTGCTGGGATTAAAGGCGTGTGCCACCACCACCGCCCGGCCCTTGCTTAGATTCTTAAATGGGGTCATCCTAGTATAACTCTGGATATTTCCCTAATGGCAGATTTCTCTTTAAACCTATAATGATTCCCTCTATTCTCTTTTCTCGCTTTCCTTTATTCTTCCCCTGAATCAATTTTACTGTTCCCTCATGGCCTCCTCTCCCCTCCTCTTCTCCCCTTCTCTTTCTCCTAATTACCTCTCCTGTCTCCCCCATGCTCCCAATTCTCTCAAATCTTGTCCATTTCCCCTTCTTTGGGGGACCATGTATGTCTTTCTTAGGGTCTTCTTATTTTCCTAGCATCTCCAGGGGTGTGGATTATAGGCTGGTAATCCTTTGCTCTTCCTCTAATACCCATATATGAGTGAGTACATATCATGTTTGTCTTTTTGTGACTGGGTTACCTCACTCAGGGTGGGTTCTTATAGTTCCATCCACTTGCCTGAGAATTTCAAGATTCCATTTTTTCCCCCGCTGAATAGAACTCCATTGCGTAAATGTACCACATTTTCCCTATCCATTTTTCAGTTGAGGGGCATCTAGGTTGCTTTCAGGTTCTGACTATTGCAAATAATGCTGCTATGAACATAGTTGAACAGATATCCTTGTTGTATGAATGTGCTTCCTTTGGTTATATGTCTAAAGGTAGAATTGCTGTATCTTGTGGTCAACTGATTCCCAATTTCCTGAAAAATCTCCATACTGATTTGCAAAGTGGTCACATGAGTTTATACTTCCACCAGCAGTGGAGGAGTGTTCCACTTTCTCCACATCCTCTCCAGCATAAACTGTCCTTGGTGATTTTGACTTTAGCCATTCTGACAGGACCAAAATGGTATCTCAGAGTTGTTTTGATTTGCATTTCCCTGATGGCTAAGGATGTTGAACAGGGCACTGGAAGGCAGGCCAGAAACAAATCCACCAAGGTTTCAAAGTATGACCTGATGATTCTCTTGATTTCCTCAGTGTCCATTGTTATGCATCTCTTTTCATTCTGATTTTGTTAATTAACATGCTGTCTCTCTGCCTTTTGGTAAGTTTGGATAAAATTTTGTCTGTCTTGTTGATTTTTTTCAAAGAACTAACTCTTTGTTACATTGATTCTTTCTATTGTTTTCTTTGTTTCAACTTTATTGATTTCAGCCCTCAGCTTGATTATTTCCTGGAGTCTACTACTCCAGGGTGAGTTTGCTTCTTTTTGTTCTAGAGCTTTCAGTTGTGCTGTTAATTCTCTAGTGCGACTATTCTTCCATTTCTTCATTTTGGCACTTAGTGCTGTGAACTTTCCTTTTAGCACCGCTTTCAAAGTGTCCCATAAATTTGGGTATGTTGTGTCTTCATTCTCATTGAATTCTAGGAAGTGTTTAATTTCTTCTTTGCTATTTCTTCCTTGACCCAGGAGTGGTGCAATTGAGCATTGTTCAATTTCCATGAGTTTGTAGAGTGTCTGCAGTTTGTGTTGTTGTTGAATTCTAGCTTTAAGATTGGTAGCCTGATAAGATACAGGGGGTTATTCAATTTTTTTGTACCTGTTGAGGTTTTCTATGTTGCTAAGTATGTGGTCAATTTTACAGAAGGTTCCATGTGGTGCTGAGAAGAAGGAATATTCTTTTGTGTTTGGATGGAATGATCTCTAGATGTCTGTTAAATATAATTGGGTCATAAATTCTGTTAGTTCCTTTCTTTCTTTGTTAAGTTTCTGTCTGGTGGTGCTGTCCAGTGGTGAGAGTGGAGTGTTGAAGACTCCCACTATAAGTGTGTGAAGTTTTATGTGTGATTTGAGCTTTAGTAATGTTTCTTTTACGAATTCAGATGCCTTTGCATTTACGGCATAGATGTTCATAATTGAGACTTCATCTTGATGGATTTTTCCTGTGATGAATTTTGAAATGACATTCTTCATCTCTCATGACTGACTTTAGTCTGAGGTCTAATTTTTTTAGATAGTAGGATTGTTACACTAGCTAGTTTCTTGGGTCCCTTTGACTGGAAAATCTTTCCCCAACCATTAACACTGACATACCATCTGTCTTTGAAGTTGAGGTATGTTTCTTGTATGCAGCAGAAGGGCGGGTTCTGTCTTTGTATCCATTCTCTTAGCCTGTCTCTTTTTATAGACCATTAATATTGAGGGATATTAATGACAACTGATTGTTAATTTTTGTTTGTTTTGGATTTGTTGTTGTTGTTGGTATTGAGTGTGGATTTCCCTCTCCCCTTTTTCTTTTGGCTGGTGGTAAAGTTGGAGAGTATCTATTGCCTTTGTTTTTGTGAGTGTAGCTGACTTCCTTGGGTTGAAGTTTTCCTTCCAGAACTTTCTATATTACTGGATTAGTGGATATATATTGTATAAATCTGGCTTTGTCATGGAATATCTTGTTTTCTCCATCTAGTGATTGAAATTTTTGCTGGGTATAGTAGTCTGGGCTGATATCTTTGGTCTCTTAGTTTTGCTAAAATATCTATCCAGGACCTTGTGACTTTCAGATTTTCCAAGGAGAATTTATGTGTAATCCTGACAGTTTTGACTTTATATGTTACTTGGCCATTTTCCTTTGTTGCTATTACTATGCTTTCGTTTGCTGTATGTTTGTGGTTTTGATTATTATGTGGTGAGGGGCCTTTTTGTGGTCCACCCTATTTGGTGTTCTATAAGTTTCTTGTACTTTCATTGGCATGTCTTTCTTTAGGTTGGGAAAGTTTTCTTCTATCATTTTGTTGAATATGTTTTCTGCACCTTTGAGTTGGGTTTCTTCACCTTCTATACCTATCATTCTTGGGTTTGGCCTTTGCAGGGTGTCCCATATTCCCTGGATAATTTGTGTTAGGTATTTGTTGGACTTAAGATTTTCTTTGGTTGATGAATCTATTTCTCCTAGTGTATCTTCAATGCCTTCTATCTCTTGTATTCTGTTGGTTATGCTTGCATCTGTAGTTCCTGATTGTTTACCCAGCTTTTCTATTTGCAGCATTCCTTCAGACTCTGGAGATTTTTTAATTGTCTCTATTTCTGCTTTCAAGTCTTGCACTGTTTGAATTGTTTCTTTTACTTGTTTGGTTGCCTTTTCTTGGCTTTCCTTGTTTTCTTTCCTTCTCTTCTGCTTCATCTGTGTTGGTATGGTCAGGTCTTGCTGGTGTAGAGTCCCTAGACTCCGGTGGTTTCATACTGATTTTTTTGTTGTTGAATGTGTTCTTATACTGTTGACTTTCCATCCCTTCTTCCAGTGTGTACCGGTGGGGTTTCTCCCTCTCCTGGTGGGTACAAGGTCAAGGATCTCTTCCGGTGGGTGCAAGTAGGTCCAATACTCTGATGGCTCTCCTCTTCCCCTGGGTGGAGGCGGGACTAGCTCTGTGAAGTAGGCAGACTTTGGATGGCCTGGACTATTGGGACCACTTTCCCCTGGTATAGTCCCCAGGCCTCAGGAGGGTCCGAGCAGGGCACTAGAGGAGATTTTCTTGCCACAGCATTGCTATTGTTGGGATAATAGCAATATAGTTAGCTATCAGTTTGTTTTTTTAAACTAATACTCAAAATTTAAAAATTATGTATTAATTAATCATGTATTAATAAGTACCATGTGACATTTCTACATGTGTATACATTCTGTTAACAAGATGGGAAATCTTGATTACCTTAATAAAAACCTACTGTTTTCCTCATACAAATAATGCTATTACCATTTTCTCAGCTGTCAGACTCTTGACTGTTCTATGTTTCTCATTATCTACATTGTTCCACTTATACCATTATGTTACTTCTTCATCTAACATTTATTAAAGGCTACACATTAGTGCCCATGTTTTACTGCCACCCTATAAAGGCCTTTGTTGCTGCCAAATTATTACAATGTCCTGCTTAATCTGTCTCCTCCTCATCATCTCTTTTACATTTACTTACAGAAGCCAATTTTTTAACATGTAAATTGATTATTAAATAGTTTACATTTTTCTTCAAAGGGGATTTATCCTACAAGTCCCCACATTATTGCTATCTATAATTCAGCAACTCTACTGCTCTTTCAATATGGCCCAGTCTTGCATAAGCCCTTCCTCAATGACTTAAATGTGTAACTCATCTCCACTTTTGAAGACTTTCCAATTACTGGTTCTACCATCTGAATTATTTGTTTTACAGTTAGGAACATTTGTTTTCCTTTGTTCCAGGTCCTTCCCCAGAACATTCTTTCATCAGTCTAGATGTCCATTCACATGGGTTATCAGAGGGTTCCTGGCTTTCTTATTTGCTTCCCTATCCTACAAGACCATTACCACTGTTTCTCAGTAGGTTTTAAATTGTATGACACAGGATATTTTGGTTCATATGATCTGGATTGCAGCCATTGAATAAAGACTTTTAACAGCTCCCTGTGGTTTAATGGGCATCCAAGATCTAGAAGCACAATTCAAGACCACGGACCATGATTCCTTAAGTGTGGTGCCAGATCCACAATCTCGGCACCATCTGTGAATCAGTTAGAAAAGCCTGTACCTCACTCAGCTGAGCTAGCTCCACATGCTAGTTTACCCACCAGTATATTAAGTGTTGTGAGTCATCTTACTTGTTGTTCAGACATCAAATTACTGAC